TAAGCTCTTTCAAGAGATAACCATACCTCACGTGATGTTTTTCCCTGAATGTGTTGATAAGAATCTTCGGACACAGTAGAGATGATAAGCATCCGAATATGGGCATTGTTTGAGATCCACGGGATGTAGCTTGGATTGTCGGTGGTTGTTGATTCGTTGGTGACTTTTTGATCAGCGCATGGTACTATTCCATCAACATAACCAAAGAGATTATGAGATGTGAGAAAAGCTTCAATCATAGAACGCCAATAGCCATAGTTGGTAGGTTTTAGAGAGGAGAATTTGTGGGAATTGTGAATGGTTTTCTCCTGATGTGAGAAGGCGATTATAGCTGCCATGAATTCTGATGTTGACTTGTCTTTAACGTCGGCAGATTGTTGATCGCAGAATTGATGAGCGGCGGCCAGCAGAATTGATGGGCGGTGATTTTAGGGTTAGAGAGAAAAAAATCGATAAACTAGGAATCGATAAAGCTCTGATACCAAATCAGAATTGATATCGATTGTATTGAATCAAATAATAATGATCTGATACACTTTTAGAGAAGTAGTTATATAGGTAAAATTAATTACACTTTGGACCCTAGACAATATTAAAAATATAAACTAGACTAGCCGACTTAGTCTAACAATATCTAGCATACCTTTGCAACTTTTGCAAAGTGATGTTCAACTTACAAATGAGGAATTTTAAATGTAAGATTCCTCCTTCCCTAAGAAATGATCTTCAAAGCCTCTTCACCTTCAAATTTCCAGTGAGCAAGACCCATTTCTATTGATTTGTTTATGACAACATTCAAGTCGCATGCTAATAAATGTTGCCAACAACATCGCATATTTTAATTGAAATTTGTAAAACTACACAACTATTAACATGCCAAAACCACAAAACAGAATGACAAAGTGACAAGAGCCTAACCTGTTCCCACGTAGAGGCGAAGTTGTAGCCTCTAGAAACAGCTTCCGAATTCGGAACACCTGTTCTGATACTAGTAGGAGTAGTCATTTCCTTATTCTTTAACTGATCATCATCATCATCATCAACCACAACAACAACATTGACGGGAAAAAAGTCGAAATGTTAAAAAAATTACAGACTGTTACTGAAAGTTGTATGCTAATAAAGTAATAATGAAGAAATAAACAAGATCTGAAATAAATTACCTAATATGCGTGCAAATCGTCGTTCTGAATTAGTAACTGCCGGAGATCGAGTTGGATGTTCGCAGGGCCGGTCCTGAGATTTTGGATGCCCATGGCGGAAAGTCAAAAAAATGCCCCTTATATGTGTAAATAAAAACCAAAATAAACTATTTGAATGGATTTGGAACCTAGTCAATCTAGGCGGCTCATCCCCACGCCGATTTATTTTAAATATAACAAAAATGATGCAGCGGGGGGACATAAACCAAAACCCCGTGTAACAAAATATAAAATATATCACCATTCATGGTTCGTGTTGTGAAATTGCCAAGAAAGTGGAACGATTAAGCAACCTGGACAAATTGATAAAGGGGAAGAAGACATAAACATCAATCTTAAGCCTTTGTCCTATACTAACCCGCTTCAAAACAGTTCCTAAAAAAGCTTCTAAACAGCCTTTAAAAGTGCAAAATTTAAGGCTTGAGCAAATGGAAAGGAATGGAAATTCTATTCACATTTTGAAGTCTTTAGAGGATACAAATAGTGAACAGGAAATCAGGAATTTGGGCCACCAACCTAGCAAGAAATGGTTGTTTCTTTATGGAAGGACGAAGAGGTTTATGGTCTATTAGTCTTATACTCTTATAGACATCTTTACTTCTTTAGGCCAACCACCCATTCACCCAACAATTAACAAATGGCAGCAGAAGCTTTGACTGTTTGACACGAAGCAATGTCTGCAAACTGAAGTGAGTAACCAGACTCATTTCTTGGATTTTACTTAGAAATTGCAAAATGTAACAGCCCCAGAAACAGTCCCAAGTCCCATTGTAATGTTCTACAGAAAACCTAAGTAGGCATTAGGCAATTAGGCATACATGATACATACAGTATTACATCTTCAAACTTTTAAAGCTTAAAAGAAAACCTAAGTATGGAGTAATGGAGGCAGCTTCATCTAGATTATAAATTAATAAAACAATAATTAGAAACATAAAATAAGTAAATAACCCTAACCTAAGTCATCAATCAGATTTTGAGCGGGAGAGTCGAGAGAGCGAGAGGCGAGACTGCCGACTGCCAGCAGTGGTGAAGTGAACTGGTGATTTCAATCAACAGACAACAGCTCGTACTCGGTACTTCTAGTCTCTAGAATCGTCAATCGACAGTGGTGTGTGGTGATCTGAGATTTCGATCGACAGTGGTGAATAGTGATTTGAGATTTCAATCGTCAATCTGTTCGTGCAATCGTGCGGCAGCGGGTAAGCGACTGAGCGAGGCAAGAGAGTGGAGGACGAAGGAGAGAGCGAGGCCGATTGCAGAGGTAATGCGGTTGGGCTGTGTTTGATCGATCAAGAAGGTGAAGGTCTGATTCAGAATTCAGATTCATCATACGGTTTGGTTTTTGGATTAAAATAATTGAATTTGTATTTAGTGATATTAATAGTTAAATGACATTGGTTTGATAAATAACATGTTCATATTTAGAGGATGTTTGGGATTGTTTATTTAAAATAATTTATATTTTTCTATAAAAACATTTATCAACTTATTATAAGTCAAAATAGTTTAATTTCTTATTACCGGTTTGATATCGGTATAAGTTATTTATCCAAACACTAAAAAGTGTTTATTTAACTTCTTCAAAAACTTCTTATTATCGGTTTGAAGATGTAATATTGTATGTATCATGTATGTCTAATTGTCTAATGCCTACTTAGGTTTTCTGTAAAACATTACCATGGGACTTGGGGTTGTTTCTGTAGCCGTTTAGTTCTGCAATTTCTAAGTAAAATCCATGAAATGAGTCTGGTTACTCACTTAAGTTTGACATTGTTGCGTGGCAAACAGTGAAAGCTTCTGCTGCCATTTGTTAATTGTTGGGTGAATGGGTGGTTGGCCTAAAGAAGTAAAGATGTCTATAAGAGTATAAGACTAATAGACCATAAACCTCTTCTTCCTTCCATAAAAAAGCAACCATTTCTTGCTAGGTTGGTGGCCCAAATTCCTGATTTCCTATTCACTATTTGTATCCTCTAAAGACTTCAAAATGTGAATAGAATATCCATTCCTTTCCATTTGCTCAAGCCTTAAATTTTGCACTTTTGAGAGCTGTTTAGAAGCATTTTTAGGAACTATTTTGAAGCGGGTTAGTATAGGACAAAGGCTTAAGATTGATGTTTATGTTTTATTCTCCTTTATCAATTTGTCCAGGTTGCTTAATCGTTCCACTTTCTTGGCAATTTCACAACACGAACCACGAATGGTGATACATTTTATATTTTGTTACACGGGGTTTTGGTTTATGTCCCCCCGTTGCATCATTTTTGTTATATTTAAAGTAAATCGGCGTGGGAATGAATCGCCTAGATTGACTAGGTTTCAAACTCATTCAAATAGTTTATTTTAGTTTTTATTTACACATATAAGGGGCATTTTTTTGACTTTCCGCCATGGGTTAACCGGCCCTGGATGATTGTAAGTCAACATCCCGCATGTGAATGGCCAACTCTTATGAATTATTATGGTTTTCAAGAGCATTAACAAGTGGTGCATATCCATGACGGTTTTGGAAGCTATTTCATGAATTTGTAACATTAGTTGATTGCATCAAGTTTATTAATATTCATCTTCTGTTGGAGTTACAGACTGATGTCAAACACTTGATGCAAAAAATAGTTTTATCCAGATCATTTTGGCTTAAACTTGATACTCCTTTCTTCTCAAATATATACAAACAGTTTTCATTTTGGGTTGTCCCACATAAGTGAAATGTTTCTTTTTTTGATAAGTTACCGATCCTCAAATAACTTTTGAGCAGGACCAGGTTTGGATTTTTACATTATTCATTATCCATTGTTGATCAATGCTTCAAACAGGTTGGCTTCAAAATATTTTTAGAGGTTGCTGCGTCTTTACATATTTGTGGCCCTTCCTACCCTTATCATCTTGCTATTCAATTCCAACAATTGCATAGATGAATGCATAATGGAAGCAAAATCTATCTTGATAATTTCTTTTTGAATTTGTATGTGTTAGCTGGTTAATTATGATTGTTTTTTTATTATTGTGACAGGAGATGCTATAAGAAGGAAGAGAAATAATTGTGTTATGCTTTGGTTTCTCAACTGGCAGCTGCTGTTTGGAATTCTTCATGCCCAAAGGCCAAATCTGTTTGATGTTGCTGTTTATTGTTATTGAAAGAGGTTTTCAGCAATTTTTAATGGTGCAGTTAAGTGGGAGTATGAGTTTTCAACCATGGAATTCTCCTAATCAGATGTTGTGGTGATACAATGAAGATGGAAAAATAGGTTGGTTATGATCTGTCTCTTTCATTTTATTTGCATCTCGATCCTCTCATGAACTATCACCATCTATGCCTTGGTTGATTATAAAATTGTGTTTCCAAAGCATGGTTTGTGAATACGGATTGTAGGAGATGATTTTGAAACTTGCGAATGATAACAATGGAATGGATGTATCCTCTTGTTTGGTTGTATACATACAACAATGGAGTTGTTTTCTTTGTAATGATGATGTTTTGATCTTTAAATTCCATTTGTTAATATATACAATTCTTTACATTAGATGTCTTTCGTCCTTTATTTAATTTAAACCATCAATGGTAAGTTTTTAACCTTTATCTAGGTATAGATGACTTATTGCATCACGCTGCATTGCGCGGGTATACAACTAGTATTATAGAAGACTAAACAATTACTTTTGTTTTCATGATTACTCTTTAATACTTCTACCGAAACATCCCCTTAATTTTTTTTATCCAATTCTCACCGATAAGGTTGAATTTATACTATTTTATATAAATTCTTTTAAGAAAATGTAATGGAATGATAGATTTATGGAATATTTTATTAATATAATGAATGTCGAATATGTTGGTGTTAAATATAATTTTTTTTTTATAGATTTCAACTTTTGATTCCCGCTTCAAAAAAGTTAAAGAGAATTTGTTGGATATGCTTAGGGCGTGTTTGGTTGCGAGTATTAGAAGGTAATGAATGGAAATGATAATCATTGATTATGTTTGATTCAATTAAGGAATGAAAATGGAATGAAAAATAATGTTTGGTTTCAAAAAATTAATCAATAATTATAATAAATTTGGTTAAAAGTCATTCCTCTTCAATTTGGGGGGAATATAAATTTTTTCTTTTAATTCTGCCTCACTCTTTCTCTCGTCTACTAAGGTGGCGTTTGTTTTTTAAGAGGTTCTGAAGTCTGAAGTCTGATTTCACTTCTGAATTTTAAGAGGTGGTACTGAAGTCTGAAATATGAATCAGTCAGACTGTTTGTTTTTACGTCTGAAATCTGAATCAGTCAAGTTTTGAATCTGATAGATTTAGTTTGATATGGGTCATGATTTTACGAGAATATGTGGATCGATCTAGGTCGTGATTGATTTGGAGATCGAATGTCTTGCGAGATAGATTTGGAGGACTAAATCTGGAGGTGAGGATGGAGGGGAGAGTCTAGAGGGAGCGATTAAGAGGATTTAAGTATTTTTTTCAGAGCAAATTAAGAGCTTTTCAGCTCTTATTTACATAAAAAAAACAAACGGTCTGAAAATAAAAACGTCTGACCGGTTCAGACTTATGAGGCATTAAGTGGTTTTTTTCAAAAAACAAACAAGCCCTAAGACATGCATTGAAAAGATGATATGACGAGATGGATTAAGTGGCTATCAAGTTTCTTTTTTGTTGTTTTATTATTAGTAAATTTAAAGGAATCCCTAATAATATAATAGAATTTAAAGGAATCCCTAATAATATAATAGAATGAAATGAAAATAATGATTCTCATTCTACCATATTTTAATTACCAATCATATTATCATTCTTTAAACCGAACAAAACACCCCCTTATATTTTTAATATAAAATTGGGTGTTCTTATATAAGGATTTGGTTTGATTAATGTTCGCTTAATTTGACCAGTACCAGGAACCGCACCTATAGCCGAGGAGCCCTGAGAAGTGCAAATCTTTGGTGCATGTAACCCACAGCTACCATGGAACCCCCTTCAAAATCTGAAAGTTTCACTAAACTTTTAATTTTTTATTCAAGCCCACTATACAATGAGATGAGTCTAGGCTATTGGCTCGACTTCGACTCATCAGGCACCGTACCAATAGGGCGATTTACAGCGGTAGATGCGGTTTCTAGCCTCTAGCAGTTCCGCCCTAGTTTTGTCTTCTGGATCGACTCCAGGTTTTTCATTTAAGCAATCTCAATTTCAGGTAAGTTAAAAGTTTTATCATATTACTCAAGTATTGTTCTAATCTATTAACAATTTATCTTTCAACACATGAGTATGTGATGCTTTTGTGCATTTTACCATAGTTATTGTTGTATCAAAAGCTATATGTTTTTAGGATTCATTGTCATTTGCTTGTACCACATTGGTATACATGCACATGTGAATAGGTGTAGTCCTTTCATTTGCTTTTTCAATCTTCTTTGAGTTCGCATAAATATTGTTACTTCGCTTTTTAATTTTTGTGGGTTCACTATGTGACTATCGAATTTCATTACCTATGGAATCACTTTCCACTATTCTTCGTGTCAAAGTGCATTAATTCTTAAAGTTCATACCAAGTTCTTCTTTTTCTTAGGTTCTAAAGGTTCTTGTTTTACTGAATAAAGAATGTTTTTACCATAATTATATCATGTATTTTAAGGTAGTGTTTGATACGCAGACTGGACGGACTTGTTTATATGTTTATCTACACTTGTAGGCACATATTGTATTTGTTTATGTAAATATAAATAGTTATCTTGTTTATCTCACCCTATTGGTATCACACTCACACTCACAATGCAAAGCAACGAATAAGAAATGGAACTGAGAAAATTGCATTACTTGAAAGAGCCAAGTACTGGCTTAAATACATGAACGAGAAAACAAAAAAGAGAAGCTAACTCCTATTCTTAAGGAAGACTAGAAACTTTCAAAGAAAAACAGAAAATCAAACTAACTCCTCCTGCAAATAAGGAGTTTTATTCACGTGACTCATTTATTCAACATACCTTCTCCTAAACTAAAGTAACATCATCTTTAGTTTATTTCAACCATGCCCAGTTCACCACGCAACTTCTCAAACTGTTCGAGCTTCAACGGTTTTCTCATTATGTCAGCAACTTGAGCTTGCGTGTTGCAATACTTCAATTCTATAACTTCTGCACTTACCAAATCTCGGAGGACATAGTACCTGACATCGATATGTTTGCTTCGGTTATGCATCACTGGATTTCTTGACAGCTTGATAGTTGACATATTGTCACAGTTAACAAYAGTACTTGCTTCCTGAGGCAAACCAATGTGTTCTAAAATTCTTCTAAGCCACACCACCTAACACGCACAAGCTGTAGCGGCTACAAACTCGGCTTCGGTAGTAGAGAGGGTCACAATTGGTTGCCGTTTAGATGACCACGCAATAGCAGCTCCACTGAAAAAACAGACATAACCCGACGTGTTTCTTCGATTATCATAATCACCTGCATAATCACTATCAGAAAAAACCATCAACTGATCACACCCTTTCTTCTTGTAATACACTCCGAAATTTAACGTTCCCTGGATATATCTCAGGACCCTTTTCATAGCTGCCATATGTTGCTCTGTAGGAGCTTCCATGTATCGGCTAAGTAARCTAATAGTGAACATTAGATCTGGCCTTGTAGCCGCCAAGTACATAATACAGCCCACCATTTGTCTATACAAAGTTGCATCAACGAAGTCACTTTGATCATCTTTAATCAACTTACAGCCTGGAATAATGGGATTTTCACACTGTTGCAATCTTCCATGTTGAACCTTGTAAGGATCTCACGAGCATATTTCTTTTGGCAGATGTGAATTCCCATCTCAGTTTAAACTACCTGTACACCAAGAAAATAGTGCATTTCCCCCATATCTGACATTTCAAATTCAGATTTCATCGAAGTCTTAAACTCTTCTATCAAGTTTAGTGTAGTTCCTGTTACAATCAGATCATCAACATAAACTGAGACTATAAGAAAATCCCTTTTTTTACTTGTCTTGACAAAGAAAGTTGGTTCATAAGGACATTTGTTGAAGCCTTGCTTGATAAAGTAACTTTCAATGCGCCCATACCAGACTCTCGGGCCTGCTTCAACCCGTAAAGAGCCTTTCTTAACTTGTAGTCCTTTTCTTCCTTACCCTGTATTTCGTACCCTTGCGGCTGTTCTACAAACACCGTTTCTTCCAGCTCCCCATACAGAAAGGCACTCCTAACATCTAGTTGATGAACTTTCATACCTCGTTGAGCAGCGAGCGCTAGTATGGTTCTAATAGTATCCCATCTGGCTACAGGAGCAAAAACTTCTGAATAGTCTATGCCTTGCTGTTGAGCATAACCTTTTACTACTAAACGGGCCTTGCGCTTATCGATCTTGCCATCTTGGTTTAATTTGGTCTTAAATACCCACTTTACTCCAATCGCTGTAGCTCCCATAGGCAAATCACAAAGCTCCCATGTGTTATTTTTTTCAATCGATTCGATCTCCTGCTTCATGGCAAGCCTCCAACATTCTTCTTGAGCCGCTTCATCATAATTTGAGGGATCTGACAAAGAGAACATAGCAACATTATMTCTCAGGTCATCGTCACTTGAGATACCTTCTCCGCTGACGTAATCGTTCATCCACGATGGTGTTTTTGTTGCCCTTTTCCCTCTTTCATCATTTGTTTCTGCACGCTGTGGATCATCAGATCCAAAGTCACCAGGCCCACTCGAACCATCAGACTTATCATTAGCGCCACTCTCCTCCTCCTGGTCATCATCTTCCCAGTTTAGATCTGATTGAGCTGCTGTAGAATTTTGACCCTATAACCACGCTATCTCTTCTTCGAACACCACATCTTTACTGATTACAATCTTGTCGTTGATGGGATCGTACAACCGATAGGCTTTCGATTCCTCGCTAACACCAAACATTACGCACTTCAGACTTCTATCATCCAATTTTTTCTTTTCTCTTTAGGGACGTGTACATGGGCGACAAACCCAAATACTCTGAAATAGCCCACTGATGGCTTCCTATTGCTCCACTTTTCTTYTGGTGTACAGTCATCAAGGGCAGCAGTGGGACTTCGATTGAGGATATGAATACACCAGTTGAGTGCTTCTGGCCAAAACTTCTTTGGAACCTGTCGTGCATTCATAGTACTCCTTACCATATTCAAGATGGTCVTGTTCTTCCTTTCTGCCACACCATTTTGGTGTGGTGTATACCCCACCGTAAGTTGTCCTTGTATACCGTTGCTTTCACAAAACGATTTGAATTCACTTGAKTTGAACTCTCCTCCCCTGTCTGTTCTTAGGCATTTGATCTCTACTCCAGCCTCCTTCTCAACAAGAACTTTAAATTTMTTGAATGTTTCAAAGGCTTGTGATTTTTCTGTCAAGAAATAGCTCCAACACTTTTTAGAAAAATCGTATATGAAATTAATCACATACCTCTTCTGACTACTGGATTGAGGTGAGATCGGCCCAAAAATGTCTGAATGCACCAATTGTAAACGTTGGTTGGCCCTCCAAGAGCTCGTCTTAGGAAATGATTCTCAAGTTTGTTTCCCTACTAAACAGTCTACACATGGCTTARCTTCATCATTGATAARTGGCAGCCCCTTCACCAAATTMTTTTCATGCAACAGTTGTAGACTTKTGGTATTAATATGGCCAAACCTTTGATGCCAAAGTTGAGTAGCACTATCAACCTCTRYTTTGTGGCATACACTACTGTCTTCATTCCCCACCTTACAACCTGGAGTAGCCTTGAATAAAAAAAAWCCTATTTGCTGTCATCGGAGATCTTATGATCAACCCCTTTCTCGGATGATAGATACTACAAAAACCTTCTTTTATTWATATAGCCACTCCCTTTTCTTGAACTTGACCCATGCTGACCAAATTATTCGTGAGATCAGAAACATAATAAACATCAGGTAAGGAAYAACTAACCCCTTCAATGTTAAGCCGAACATGACCTTTACCCATAGCAGCCATCCGAACATCATTTCCAAGCTTAACATGGTTACGATAAGTATCATCCAGTGAGCAAAACCATTTCTTATCACCTATCATATGATTCGAACAGCCCAAATCTAAGAACCACATGCACTTCTTGGGCAAATTGCTTTCTTCTCCTTGAGCCATCAACACCATCTCCTCGGTATCATCACATTCTACGTAGTTTGCATCCTTCTCCCAATCTGGACATTCACTTTGAAAGTGACCCAGCTTGTGACATCTATAACATTCGATAGTGTTTCTATCGAATGAGGCCCTGCCACGTCCCCGCCCTTGATAACCACCTCGTCCTCGTCCTCGTCCTCTACCACGATATGATGAACTTCTTGTTACCTTTAAGACGTGCTCTTCTTCCTGTTGTCCAATCATTCGTTGTTCATGGACTAACAGGCTGCCATGTAACTCATTAATAGTCATAGTATCAAGATTATTGGATTCTTCAATAGAACATACCACATAGTTAAACTTTGGAGTCAGAGAACGCAAAATCTTGGCCACCACAGTACTCGAGGCCAAAGAATCGTCATTTGCCTTCATCTTATTGACGATCGTTAGTGTTCTGGCCAGGTAGGTGTCATCCTTTTCTCCGTCCTTCATCGACAGCAGTTCGTACTCCCTTCTTAGAGCTTGCAATTGAGCTCTTTTCACCTTCGTAGAGCCTTCATATTTCTGCCGCATCGACTCCCATATTCCCTTTGAAATGCTCTTGTCCAGTAGCGTCTCCAAAATCTCCCTGTCTATCGCTTGAAACAGGTAGTTTTTTACTCTTAAATCTTTCAGTCTTGCTTCATCGATGGCTCTTTTCTGTGCTTCATTTGGATTGACTACATTTTCTCCACGAATTCCTTCCTCCACCAGGTTCCATATTTCCTTACTCCTTAGGAAATTCTCCATCAACAGTGACCAATGATCATAATGGCCATCAAACTTGGGAATCGATGGTTGCACAAACTTATCGGAAGTAGCCATCTCTCTTTCTCACTTTTAGAAGCTCCTCAACCTCGCTCTGATACCAATTGTTGGTATCACACTCACACTCACAATGCAAAGCAACGAATAAGAAATGGAACTGAGAAAATTGCATTACTTGAAAGAGCCAAGTACTGGCTTAAATACATGAACAAGAAAATAAAAAAGAGAAACTAACTCCTATTCTTAAGGAAGACTAGAAACTTTCAAAGAAAAACAGAAAATCAAACTAACTCCTCCTGCAAATCAGGAGTTTTATTCACGTGTCATTTATTCAACACACCCTGCATTCCAACTCTTTTTAATTGCATCAGCGATAATCTATGGATAAGTATTTACCAGTAAATAAATCTTTTAAATGTCTTCCAAACCTTGAAATCATGAATTCTTTTACAATGTTTTTAGGTTCCCCTAAATAAATTTTCTTGCTTGGCCTGTTGACATTGGAGACATGACGAGGGTTTTACAGCGACTGATGTACAAAACCCAGGTACCGTCTCATTGTTTTCAACTCCAATTCGGGCCTTTCAATTCCACCACACAACGTCGATGGAAGAAACCGGTGGTTACAGCACAAACCCGATTGGAAGATCGAACAAGGGACCTGAAACTCGATTACCTCATGACCAACTTCCGGAAAATCAGCTTAATTCTAATCCTCCGCGACCTCATGTGTGCTCGCCGAAGAGGACCCTTTGTTTCCGTACAGATAATGTCTCGTTGGAACAATATTGTTGGTCTGAATGTACCCATTGGTGGTTTCCTCCGAAAATACCCCCACGTGTTCGACGTATTTACTCACCCAATTAAGCGAAATATTTGTTGTAAATTAACTTCGAAGATGACCATGTTGCTTCAAGAAGAAAGTAATGTGATCAGGGATATGGAATTAGATAATGTAAGAAGGATAAAAAAACTTTTGATGATCTCTGTTACTGGTACTCTTCATATCCATGCTTTGAGGTTGATCAGAAGGGAACTGGGTTTACCTGAAGATTTCCGCGAATCAATTCTTGCGAAGTATTCTAGTGAGTTTGAGTTGGTTGATTTGGAGATAGTGAAATTGATTAATAGGGATGGTGTTGATGAGGGTTTGAAGGTAGCTGAAGTGGAGAAGTGGAGGGAGAGAGAGTATAGGGAAAAATGGTTGAGCGAATTCGAGACAAAATATGCCTTTCCCATTAATTTCCCTACCGGGTTCAAGATTATAGCAGGGTTCAAAGGGAAATTGAAGGATTGGCAAAGACTTCCTTATGTCAAACCTTATGAAAGAAAGGAGGTTTTTCGGGCTTCGACTTGTGGAGGGATTGAGCAGTTTGAGAAGCGAGCTGTTGGGATTCTTCATGAGCTTTTGAGCTTAACAGTGGAGAAGATGGTTGAGGTTGAACGCTTAGCACACTTCAGGAGAGATTTCGGAATCCCAGTTAATCTTCGTGAGCTCATTCTGAAGCATCCTGGAATCTTCTACATATCTACACGAGGTAGTACCCAAATGCTTTTCCTTAGAGAAGCATACCGTAAAGATTATCTTGTTTCCCCAAATCCTGTGTATGTTGTTCGAAGAAAAATGTTGGACCTTATCTTGCTGGGATGCCGGAGTACTAGAGAACTGGACAGTCCAAGGCAAGTGAAGGAGAGTGTTGGTGATCAAAATCGAGGTGCCGTGGTAGAGAGTGACTTTGTAACTTCAATTTTAGAAAATTTAGATGACAACAATGATGGTAACAAAGAGAATGGAGAGGACACTGCAGCAGTTTATAGAGAAGAGGCATCTGCTACATGATAGTTCGATTCATGAGTTGGCTTGTGAACGCGAACCCTCATTCTGGGAGGTAATTTGTTGCTTGTGGCCACGTAGATGATAGATAGGAAGTCCAAATGCAGCAGTTTTCTTGAGACGAGACTCTTGGTGACCCAAGATCAACTTGTTTAGTGGTATGCGAGCTTAATTAACTCATTTTCTATGCTTCAAACATGTTTCAATTTGATCTTTTTGGCAATTGTGTTGTTTCTCATATATGTGTCATGACATCCTATCATACCCCGTCTTGCATTTCTAAAGTTCAATTCCAAGGAAACGAGCGATGTTTTGTTGTTGTAGGGTAAATCACACCTTCATGCCGGATAAATAAAGTACCGAGTCAAATAGACATGCATTGTCTCACCCCAAAACTACATGATATGCGTCTTTAAAAACTTGGAAGTTCTGTAAGTAGTTTTCAAAATTTGACAGCTTCCAACATTTCTGACTCATCTTGATACGTTATTTTGTTTAATTCCCATACTGAGTGCTTTGTGGGGTGTACTTCTTTAGGGATTGACCTTATTCTTGAATTGTTGTCATGTATACAGGTAAATAGAGGAGCAATTCTGGTCAATTATTATTTAAAAAAGAGAATGTATTTTGAATGATTATTTGCAGTGTTGCTATTTGAGTTAAGCAGTGTCTTCCATAGCGGCCAATATTTGTTAGACGAAATTGTGAAGTTATCTCAATATATAAACGGAAATGGGCAATTATAAATTGGTGATCTATTTGCAGTTCCTCTCTAATTTTCTCTCTCTTATTTCTCTTACTGCTTGCTCTTCGCTTCCCTGTCTCAATTACAGTATACTGTTGCGTTGTGTGGGTATAACTTTCTATTAATAAGAATAATTGATATGTTGTATGTATAAAATCGAAAACAATTTTTATCTAATGATGGATTTTGAAAAAATGGCATGTTGATTTTACATATAATTCTTTTAATCTGAACCTAAAAAGTAATTATTATATATTTAATTTAAACTTATGTATTGATATGAATATGAGTTTTTTATAATTTAACTAAATTAAAATTCTTTTTAAGACTATTAATATTGATTAAAATTTAATCTGAAGGTTAAAGATCATTAAATCATTACATATATACATACATGTATGCATAGACACACGTGTGCGCACACACACATATAAAGGGTATGCACATGTGCATGCAAGTAATTTGTAACATGTGCACGTGCATAAAAACCAAAAAACAACTTCAGTTACTTGTATGCATATGTGCATACCTCTCAGATAAATGGTTAACAGGGTGTTCCTCAATTTTCATTTTTTGGGGGGTTTTTCCCCTGAACCCCCCCCCCCTCTCTCTCTATATATATATATTTTGTTCAAAGAGTTTCTGTTTGTAATAAAGTTGAGTTGAATCTTGTACTATTAGTATAAAATTTCTTATAGTGAAACAAAGGGATACATGTGAAACAATTATTATTACTATGCAACAGTAGATGCACATTTTCTTTTCTATGACTTGAACCATATCATGTTCATTTTCAGTTTTCCCTTTGTTTCTTGGCTTTAGATAGGGGTTTAGTGCAATGTAACGTGTATGTGATTTCGTGCTACATATTATTTCATGTATTTCTTTACTGTGAATCTGGTATGGTGGTTAAATTAAATGCTTCTTTGAATTGTGAACCTTATTCACATGGAGGAAACAGCAATAAAAGCAATTATTACTGAATATGGTTCTGTTGCATTAGAAGTGAAACCATTAAATTCTCTTTTATCTACTTCAAACAGAGAATTATAATAAGTGTTTAGCTGTTTTCGGATCTGTATTTGTTCTATATAATTGTTCCATGTAAGGCTATCCTCATTTCTTGTCCATCTATTATTTGATGATACCCTTTTTGTGACTTTTTATCTTGGTAGTATTCTACAATTCCAATCATCATCTAAAGCTCCTGAATTGAATCTTTCATGTTAGTTTGAAAATTTCATTTTCCTTGGGAGCTCATTTTTTACCTCAAACTGAGCTTTATTTTGAGAAATAATGCTTTCCCAGCTTGTCTTTTCAGTTATTATGTTGAGCTTTTGAGTGGGACAACGGCAACAATGAAGATCGGAGGATGTCATGTCTCATAGTTGTGACAAGGTCTATTTTCCTATCTGATGGTTGGAGAAGAACAAGCCTAAGGGGGTGGTAAAATATAAAAATAACTGATTTTTGTTTATAATAATCCTATCATAATTTAATTTTCGTCATTTGACTGCATTCGGGTGTATATGGTTCTACTTCTACCACAATTTTGTATTGCCAAATAACTTGCAAGAAACCCTGAGTAAGATCTAGGTTTCAAGCCTCTTAGGGCCACTGGACTGCTAATTACAGGAACTTCTGGACCTCCACACGACAGGGATGAAGACGAGTGTAGAGCAGGTGCATACTTACTGCATGTAAATGCAGTTTGTATTCTACTTATCGAATCATTCCAACAAAACTCAGAGAAACTTCTTAAATTGCACTTCCTCCATTTGATTCCTAAACTCTAGGGGTAAAGGAATGTAAGGTGGAACAGATGGGATGACAGCCTTCTGTAAGACAGGGGCTGTTGGAACAGTAGGAATAACTTGTTCAATTTCTGGTGGTTTTTCAAGTCTGACAGGTGCTATAGATGCTGGTGTTTGGGTGTGTGGCAAAATGTTGTTGCATCACCTAGAATTGACTTTTCTTTCTTGTTATCATCAGGAAATAATAAAGGGAACTTAGACCTATCAGGTATTGACACAGATACAGAAGTGTATGTAGGTCCAAGGACAATATCGGAAGATGCTACAACAACATGGGGTGTTGCTGTAACACTCTTTTCATTGTCTATGCATCATGAACTTGGTAAGTAATTTATTTGAGCTCTTTTTCTTGCAATCAGATTATAAACATGTACTCATGTCAGTACATGCTTCTATTTTGTATGTTATTGCCTACTCTTCACTAGCTTTTTCTTTTAATATTTTGTCTTTATCTACCTTTCTCTCTTTCACGCCTTTTCACAAGCCAGGGTCCACAAAGAAACAACTATTCTACTACTTAGGTAGAGGTTGGGTTTGCGTATATCTTATTATCTTACTCCCCCGGACCCCACCATTGGGTGAGATATACGGGTTTCGTTTGGTTTGGTTTTCATGTAGTTACATGCTGTGTAGAATATAAGCAAGATACATCTTCTCCTCTTCTAATTATTATATAAACCGCTGTTTTTGGACCGTGATAATCGCCATTTCAAATCGTGGTCCTGACTGCAGTAACAGCTTAGCAGGTCAATAACTTAAGTTAGTTTAAGAGGGTATTTATGATCCGTTTTGCTCTATGCAAGTGGCAAAGCTCTTGGGTCCCACGTCGGCTAGACTTAGGGGCCATTTACCTAAACACTTACCCGGTAAGCGCTTAACGGTAAAATTCAACTCTATCGCTTGCTTATCGAGTAAGATCTTAGTCTACAAAAACGATATCGTTTGTAACAATTTACCCGGTAAGCGCTAACCATGGTAAGAGTCGTCGCCATCACTTACCGGGTAAGACTCTCGGTCCGTGCCTTCGCTCTTACCAAGTAAACTTATTGGTATTTTCCATATTCATCAGATAAGAGAATATGATTTGATAAGCGCTTACCCGAGTAAGCATTTGGTAAACGGCCCCTTAGACATTTCTACTCCATATATGTTTGAACCTCCATTCCCTCCTTAAGGATTTTAGGATTTTTTTAGGAAATAATTTGATGGGGTTCAACATATTCTTATATGGTATCAGAGTCCAAGGTTTATACTCTAGGGACTTGACACTTTGAGGCAATCTGTGCCCGTCAAACCTATGTTGGAGAGGGCGTGTTGGATTTTCACATCGGCTGAATATGAACCATTTCTCCTCGATATATGTTGGAACCCCTTTTCTGTTTCTCAATGGCTCTTTTGGATAGTAACAAGAAAGGGGTTCTACATCTAGTCTCCGTCTGGAGTACTATATCAGCTAGACTTTGGACCATTTCTACTCAATATATATTGGAATCTCTGTTCTTTTCTTTTTGGATAGTAATTGATGTAAGGGTATGGTGAAATGCCATGTGTTTTAAAGATATGAAATAGTCCAAGAACTACTTTTGCAGGCTCCCATGAATAATGAATACTAGACTTGAATCTGAAGAAGGATGTTGGGACCATCATCTACCTTCAAATATCACTAAAATTTGTGATATTTGTTGTTAGTTTATGATTTTAATTTTTTATTTTATATCACAGATAACGAATTTATAAATATTTGTTGTTAATGTTGATGATCTTGATGTTATGCACCCATCGATTCTCTATTGTCGTTGATTTTCGAGTTAACGATGATCTTGAATTGTTGACTTTGGAAGTCAACGGAAATGGTATAGGCTTTTTGTATCGGTTTATTGTGTTTTACTATTGACATGTTGATACATCAAAGAAAGAATCGGTATATTTTTCGTTTTATAAGTGTAATGATATATTCGTATATAAAATGTTATAGACTTTATCACTCAAAATTTGAAAATTGGTTGGGTTTTTTGGACTTCTCCCATGATTTTGACATATTAATCAGCTTTGTGTCATAAAGATCTATTTAATCGGTTTTGGAAAGTCCGGTGAGCTTTTACAGTCCATTTTCTTTCATGAACTTGGGGGTCATTTATCAGATGCTTACATGGTGTTAAGTCACATTACCTTATCGGATGAATATGAAAATGACCAATAATTTTACCTGGTAAGAGCGAGACAAAGGTTGAGAGTCTTACCTGGTAAGTGAGGACGATGACTCTTACCACAGTTAGTGCTTATCGGGTAAATTGTTGCATATTATGTCGTTTTTGTTGATTAAAATCTTACCCGGTTAGTAAGTGATAATATTAAATTTTATTGATAATTACTTACCGGATAAATGTTTGGTAAACATCTCCTTAATCACTTATTGTTTGTGATATTAGACACAATGTTAGGTGTAGCTGATTTTACTAATACTTTTAGCTCTTGAGACTATCCATGGTGTCATGGATGAAGCGGTTTAAAAAGTCTATTGGATTTTTTTAGATTTTAAATGTAAATGATAAATCTGAAACTCATTTAAAATTCGTGGAGTGGTTTATGGTTGTGAAATGTGTACATTAATTTTACACGTGCTTTTAAATAGGGGTGTAAATGATGAGACTCGAATTCGAGTATCATTATAGTCGATTTAAACTTGATAGTTATTTTCTAGGCTCGATCTCAACTCGAAAACTCATAAGTAGTTAACAACTAAAGTTGACCCAAACGAGTTCGAGTTTAAAACTCGATTCTAATTTTTTAACCTTGAACTCGTTTGAAGCTCGTACGAAGCTCAAATCAAGTTCCACCCGTTAACATTTATGAAAATTTGCGGTATTATTTTATAAATAATAAAACTTAAAGGTGTTCTCTTAAACTTTATGAAACTCAATGATGCATCTCAAATTTCATCATCAAAATGACGAAGCTACAAACTTCCATTCCCTCACGCTCTTTTTATAACACATCTTCACCATTCATTTAGCATCTCTTCTCCATTGTGGGACAACTTAACAACTTCGTATTGTTTTTCTAATGCGGGATCACTTTAACGACACTTTTATACTTTTTTTTTGTCTTTTCTTAATTATAATTTTAATAAAAAAATAATTGATTAATTTTTTAGTTAAAAAATGTACAATTTTGTTTAGATATATGATATTTTTTGTATTGGTAAGTTAATTAATAAATTTTTACAATATATTTTATAAATTATATCATAAAACTAATTATATATAAAAATTCGAGTATCTCATTAGTTTTTCGAGTTAAGTATTAGGTAGCTCGATTTGATTCGTTAATGAGTGCAGTATTGATCGAACTTTGACCGAGTTGATCTCAAATAACTCATGAGTTGTCTCGTATTGTTTATACCCTTATGGGCCGTTTGGTTCGCAAAATTCGAAGGAATTTGATGGAACTGGATTGACAAATTCCTTTGACCAAATTCCAATTTTTTTATTTGGATCATTTCTTGAAATGAATGGAATCCTCTAAATTCCACAAGTTAATGAATTCATCATTTCTTGGTATAATGGAAGGAATTGAAATTCATCGCCACCCACCACGACCATGATACTATTGTTCGTCATGCCCCATCCCTACCCCCCCAACCACCATACCACTATTGTCGCCGCCACCCATCCCACTCCACCCTACCACTAACCACCATGCCACTATTGTTGCCATCACATCCACCCACCCCCGGTCACTCACTACACATCCCAACTACAACCCTGTGACTATCATTATTGTCACACCCCTAACCTAACCCTCGCACCATTATTGTTGTTGTCACAACTGTCACTCACCCCACCCCAACCCACCATGCCATTATTATCATCGTCATATCCATCCACTCCCAGCCAGCCGACCATCATCCCACCGCTGTCGTCCTCATAGCTGCCACTTATCCCCACCGCCCTGCCCCGC